TCAACAAAGCTAAAACCTTGAGTACATATCCCCAGCGGAGTTAAAATTCAAAATTCCCATCAGAGTTAAGTCTCTAAACTCCCGATCCCCAGTGGAGCCCAAAAACTTTGAACTACGGACCCTCAGCAAAGATGAAACCTTATTCCCCAGCAAAGTCAAATTTCCAACTATCAATCCCCAGCGGGAACCATTCAGTTTTCCCCAATTTCCCCAGCAAGTTATCTTGAAAGTCTGAGAATCAACCAGTTAACAGTTAACTTTTTGTCTTATCCCCAACTAGGATAAATCCCCAGTAGATTGGCATACAACCCAAGCTCCTGATTTCCATGGCAGAATAAACACTCTCCCCACAGAGTTATTTTCCCAACAAAACGAAGATTCTAGTTCTTGTTTCTCCATTTGAAGTCTCCCAGGTTTTAATTCCCCAGTAGAGGTCGTTGATTTTTTTCCTTATTTCCCCAAGAAGATCATGAAGAATCCTCATTCCCCGCAGAAGTTGTCAAAACTCTTGTTAATCCCCACAAGATACCAGGGATTTTCAATCCCCAACAGTGGTCCCAGAATTTCCCATTCTCAACAATCAAAGATTTTTGGAATCCCTGGCATCGGTCAAGGATTTACTTTCCCCGGCAGCAGTCAAAGATTTCATTATCTCCAGCTATCAAGGATTTATTTTTCCTCGACAAGACGGCTAATCAGCTTACATGCACATCCATTACATTCATTAATAGAACATATTTTATTGCATCATACATATCATGCAACCTAACTTTGTGTTTTAGCTAACATTCTACCCTTTTCAGGATAAGATTAAAAAGCTATCGTTAACAACTAATCAGAGATTTCAGATACAGTATGGATACACCCCAGATACAGCGGTCATTCTATTACTCATTCAGAATTTCAAGTCAAGATACAGTATGGATATACCCAGACACGGCGGTCATTCTATTACTCATTCAGACTTCAGCAATCAGATACAGACTAGATACGCTCCAGACACGGGAGCCATTCTATTTCTCATTCAGATTCAACTATCAACTTCAAGTTCAGATACACTCCAGACACGGAAGTCATTCCGTCACTTGTCCGGATCCTAGTTACAGTACGGATACACTCCAAACACGGAAGTCATTCTGCTACTCATACAGATCTCAACTTCAGATACAGTCCAGATACGCTCCAGACACGGAAGTCATTCTGTTATTCATTCAAGAATCAAATACAGTTACAACTCGGATACGCTCTAGACACAGACGCCATTCCCTTGCTCATACAAACCCAGTCTCCAGATACAACTCAGATACGTTCCAAATACGGAAACCATTATGATGATCATTCTACTGAGTTTCAACAAACAAATTTTGGATGGCATCTCTAAGCCCATCTCCAGCAAGATTCTACCATCTCCAAATGGCATCTTTAAGCCTATTCCCTCCGCTACATTTTGACGAGTGCAAATTTACGGGCATTCTAGTGTCCAATCCTCTTTTACCTTCGAGTCACGAAAGGCAAACTTGCCAATCTAACTCTTCAGGTTCAAGAAGATTGAATAGGGGAAACTATTGTACCCCAAAATTTTCCCTCTCATTTTATCAACATTCCTCATCACAAGGCTTTTGGAACTCAAGATCAAGCTAGGGTTTGCTCTGCTCAAGACACCTCCTTGTACTATTGACCTAAATTAGGGTTTGAGTTTGCACAGGGATTTTTTGACTTACAATGCCCAAAGTGACTTTCATACTTCATGTTGGACTCATAGGTTTGTCCATACCAAGTTTCAAGCCTTGGATCAAATTTTTGCCCAGTCAATTTGACAGTTGACCTAAAAATCAACTATATTGGGGAAAAAGTCAACTGTGGCCAATTTACAGTCAAACCTCATGAATTTTGACCCACATCAACATTATGAACTCATATGAACCAATTGATCAAGTTTGGACCACAACTCCACAAGAAATTTGATCAGATCACCAAAAGGGCAAAATGGTCATTTTTAGGGGTTTGACTGTACAAAGGCAATTTCTGACTTTTTGACCTAGCCAATGTCAAATTAAGCTCAACCATAGACTCAAGGACTCAATGGCATCATCTTGACATATTCAACAAGTTCAAAAGATCTCAAATACATGGGATTGACAGATGAATTTTTCAGTCAACTGATCAAAATTTGACTGTACACTGAAGAGTCAAACTTTGACTTTTTGGTCAAAATCAAGTGCCAAGGGTCATTTTTCATCAAGATGTGTCAAATTATGAAACTTGTTCATCAAGAAACCCAAAATTGCAAATTAGGGTTTGAAATTGAAAATTTTCATAACTTAGAATTTTTCTAAGTTATGAAATTTTCTTAATTTTTCCTAACTTTTCCCCACATTTTCAACAAGATGCAAATGGATTCAAACAAAACTCACAACATGAAAGTTGTATTCCTCCACAAAGTCTATAACTTTGATTCACAAAGTTTTCTCAAAAGAAGCTTGGATCTCAAGTTATGAGTTTTGGAACAAGGGTCCCTAAAACTTTTAACTTAGAGAAATTTTGCCCTAATTTAGGCAGGATTTTGACCCATCTTCTTGGACATTTTTCACATAGTTACACTTGTAATATAAAGTTTCATTTCAAAAATGGATTATAGAGCATGTTGCAAGCTTTCCAAATTGTCCAAGAACTCCTCAAACACATTTGTGGTTAGGGAGAATCGAATGCTTGAAGTTGGCAAAATCTCACTTTGTATCCATGGCAAATTCATGTTCACTCAAGTGGCATTTTCAAACCAGCATGCTTTGTACTAGTTTGCAGGCCTCTAAACCATTTCACACTCCTTAATTAAATGCAAATCCATCAGTCTAAGCATTTGTTTTTGCCATTTGGGCATTGTACACAAAACTAAGCCCTAAGTAGAAAAAGGCACATTTCTATTTTTGAAAAGGTATACTTTATGTCAAAACATGATCTTTGAAGCATAGGGCCATATCTCAGAAGTCAAATCAAATCCACAAATTCCAGAAACCAAGAGGATTATATGCAGCATATTTGATGGCTTGTACAGGCCTGTAATCACAACTTCCACATCTTTGCTTCAAAAACAAGAAATTATCCAAACACTTAACAACTTGAAAACCAACAAAGAACAACTTACACAAACTTTTTGAACAACTTTCATACAACCCTTTGAGCAAGAAACATGAGTACTTGAGCCTCAAAACCTCCCATAGCTAGAAATCACACTTCTTTGGCAAAACAGGGCAGGTGCTGCAACTTGAATGCCATAGCTCATTTGGCTCGTGCGTTTTGTCTCTTTTTGCTTCAAACACCTTCCATTCAACTCACTCAAGCTATCCCAAACCTCCATTGCCAACTGCAACTCCATTTACAGTGTTCACCATTTTCATTTCAAGCTTATGCAGGTTGAGTTATATAGGCTGTTTCAAGGACTTTCAAGGCAAGCTAGCTATTGGAAAAGATCAAGTGAAGTTCAGGCAAGCTACCAGACACATCAAAACTTGTTGAGAAGCACTGCATTTCCCTACACGACTGAAACAAGTTTTTTTCTCACTTTCTATCTCTCTATTTAGGAACATTTAGCCTTAGGTTTGTGAATAAAAAATGTAGTATTCAATGCTAAGAAGCCATACATATGCTCAGTTTTCATTTATATTAAGTGTGCTAGGAGAATTTCATCCATGAACATGCTGAAAAAACTAGGTCAGATTTTAGGGCCAGAGAAATTCTCTCTAGTCTTTGAGAATTAGAATTAATGCTTTATATGGTTAGAATCGTATTGAAATTCTCTACAAGTTTGATGTTGTGAGTTTTGGCAAAAGATCACGTTTACAGGATGTCCAAGTTTGTATAACAGACGCATGTTTTTTCAAAAGGTCGGAGGAAGAAGATGAAGTGGTGGGCTGGGCCTAGCCTGCTTGCTTCTAACACCCTCTTTTCTTTTTTACACCCCCTGGCCCAATTTCTTGAATAATTACATTTTTGCATTTTTGTTTTTTTTTTTCTGATTTTGTTTATTTATTTCCAAATATAAAAAATGCTTAAAAAATATTTTCATAATTTTTTACATTTATGCATTTTATTTGATTTTTTATAACATAAAAACATTTAGAATACTTTTATAATTTATTTAAACTTGAAAATAATATGTGAATATATACTTTTATTTTTATTTTTATTTCTTATTTTTAATCACACTGAAAATATTATTAAAAATATAATTTATTTTTGTACATATTTTATTTTATATTATACATATTTATTATATATATATATATATATATATATATATATATATATATATATATATATATATATATATATATATATATATATATATATATATATATATATATATATATATATATATATATATATATATATATATATATATATATATATATATATTGAGTACTTGTCCCCCCCTCTGATCCATTCATTTCTGCAAGCAGGGGGGATCCTGAGCCAAGCCTTTCGTCTATTGCATAACCTAAAAAAGCTATAAGCAAAGTACCAAAGGTGCGCTCCGCCCGGTGACTCAGAAAGAAATGGGTTTGCACTTTGAAGTGATGAGGTCGCAAAGAGGGAAGTTGGGCTTCTATTGAAAGGCTTTCCCTCCCTCAAAAGGCGACCAACTTTCAATACTGTTACGTTACGCTGCCATTTTTCCAATATCATTGAATAGCATGGCCTGCCTGGGGCTAAGGTCACTCAAGTGGGAGAGCCGTGTTATGGGTGACCTTATTGCATGGTTCAGAGAGCACTTGTGTATGTGATGCAAGTGAACGTGTACGAAAAAGCTGTATCTAGGGTGAGTTCTTCGTTATGTCGTCAACCCTATCTATGTTTCTACGATGGCCCAAGAACACGCTTATTCTTCAGCCGTAGAGAGACTTTTGAATTGAGAGGTACCATTACGAGCTCAATATATACAAGTGTTATTCCGTGAAATAACTCGAATTTCAAATCATTCACTTGCTTTAACTACTCATGCTATGGATGTGGGAGCATCAACTCCGTCCCTGTGGGCTTTTGAGGAGCGGGAGAAATTGTTGGAATTCTATGAAAGAGTCTTGGGAGCCAGGATGCATGCCAGTTTCATACGACCAAGTGGAGTGGCACAAGATCTGCCTCTTGGCTTATGTCGAGATATTGATTCCTTCACACAACAATTTGCTTCTCGTATCGACGAATTAGAAGAGATGTCAACCGGAAACCGTATCTGGAAACAACGATTAGTGGATATTGGTACTGTCACTGCACAGCAAGCAAAGGATTGGGGATTCAATGGTGTAATGTTAAGAGGTCGTGCGACATGAAGACATTGATAGCAATATGGGGGGAGTTCCCATCAGGCAACAACGGTTCTGCCTGACCCTACTTAAGCATGCATATTCTGTCAGTGAAGACTTGGTGTAAAGCCTTGGAGCTTACGTTAGAAGAGCAAAAGGCCCGGGGCTAGGGTGAGCTGAGGGGGGACAGCGTAAGTGAGCGAATGTGTGTAAGCCCAGTCAAACATGACTGTTCTAGGCGGGGCGGGCCACCCACATTCGAATGGTGTTGGTCCTACGGACCGTGAAAGGATTCGCCTCTGGCCTCGGGGCACGTCGGAACCGCATGAGTTCACCGGGGTGGAGCATAGTCCGCCAAAATCGGCATAGGTTAGGTGCTATTGATGGAACATGGTAAGCCTATCTTTCTCCATATGGAAGTGCTGCGGGCACATAGAGATGTGGGTAGAGGAAGTCTCAAAAAGCGAAGGCCGAGCTGTAGGTCACGTGACCTGCACCGAGTTGGTGGCTGACTGGGCTTTTTCCTTGATCAAAGCAGATAAGCTCGCCGCCTTCTTGTTATCAAAAAGTAGGTCGAATCGGGCGGGCGGAACGTCGAATGAAATAGGTAGCCGGGTTCTCTTTTTACAACCCTTTTGATATGATAGGCCCCCCTATCCCTTATGTTTAGGAGCGGGATCCGCCCAAGAACGACCAGTCCTGTGGTGGTACGGAAGGCACGGACTCCGCGAACGTCCCGTGCCCCCAAGACTAATAAAGGAAATAAATCCTCAACCAGAACCACATTCCTTTTGCGTGCGGATTTAGCTAAGTGTCTGACTCTATTGGTCATAGTTCCCTGCTGTTGCGGCCAGTGCTCGTTTGCGCGCAACCCAACAATTAAGGAAAGGATGCCTCTCGGGGCATCTGAGAATAATTCGAGCCGTATGAAGGGAAACTCTCACGTACAGTTTGTCTTTTTTTGGGGGGGGGGGGAGCCCGACAGGGTCCCCCCACTAACTTGGCCCAGGCCTAAGTGAAAGTTAAGTGGTGGGCCTACCCATCCCAACCAGGGGTATGCTTGGATTCGCGAAGAGCATCACCTTACGATGTTCATGACCAATCGGATCCTGACGTACCAGTAGGTACCAGAGGAGATCTCTATGATCGTTACTGTATCTGTATTGAAGAGATGCGACAAAGTCTGCGGATAATTTTCCAATGTCCTAATAAAATGCCTAGTGGCATGATCAAAGCCGATGATCATAAGTTATATCCTCCATCATGATGTCGAATGAAACTATCCATGGAATCGTGCGCCGTGTGAAACGTAGATCATCGTCGTTCTTAACCGAGACTCAGGTTAAGCTCCGTCTCGGAACCTAGTGGGGTTAGGAGTAAAGCATCCCGAGGTTGGCGCATCTCGTTGGGCGTGGAGAAGCATTGGGAATCTCAATTTCTTTCTTCGGAGCCGTTTCTTTTCCCGTCCCCCCGCCCCGGCATAGCGCTTTGCTTCCCGTTATTCGGAAGAATAAACTGACTTATCCCTTCTTCATTGATCTGGGGGAAAAGGAACCGTCTACCAGTTGGCAAGCTAGACATCAAGTAAGTGGCTTGATGAGGATAACTAAGCTGACACGCCGGAGTTGGCTGCTGGCACAACAGGGTGGTGCCTTACCGCACCGCAGGCGAACGCGCGGTAGCGTTCGTGGTGGTGCTTCAGGATTCCAATGTACTGCGTCCAAGATCAGAACGAGCTTGCCAGCGGACCACTGCCGTCCTATTCTTGAGTGAGCTGGAGCGCAGCCATCTTATCCACTGAACTAGCTAGAAGCTATCGCTTCGGGTCGAAGCACTAAAAGAAAAGGACCGGGAAACGCGGTGGCATAGGAACCACGGGACCCCCTACTAGTAAAGGGAAAATGGAAGTGCGCGTTAGCGCACCAGCTGAAAAAGCCCATTCCCCTGACTCTCACTTCACCCCTCTCCAACCAGTCGAGTGGCATTAGCCCCTCTCCCAGCAAGAGGATGCGCGAACCTCCAAGTAAAGCGCGCTAGCGCGCTTGACCAAGGCTTTCTCTGATAGGGGCTCGCCGTTGCTTGTTTGGGTCGAGCGTCAACCTTAGCGCATCCGTTTTATTGCTCCTTAGCACAAGCACTAAGTAAGCCCGTGAAGGAAAGGCCTTTTCATACATCATAATAAGGTAAGCTTCATAGCTCCAACCTAGACAAGGCCTTTTTTTTTACCGTTTTTTAGATTGGGTTGCTGGATACGGGATCCTCGTAGTAGGCTGGACAAACATCCAGCCGAGAGAGGGCAGCCTTTAGAAGCAACAAGTTGGGAAACCAATAGAACGCTTCGCGTTTTCTTATCTTCTTCCCGCCCTAGGAGTAGCACAAAAATAAAGAGGGATTAGCATTATTGACCCAATGATAAACCACTAACACCCTCCTCGTTGGGTCTCCGCGCACTGGGAAAAGGCTCTAGCGATGGGAAAGCGGGCACGACCACTACTAACAAAGCTGCAATAAGGTATCGAGAGGGCTATCACAGTCAGGTGCGAAGCAATTACCCCCTTTTTGTAAAGTACCTCTCTTCCTATTTAGTTTAGGGGTTTGAGGCGATAAATGGCTTGATGAACCGTTCTGTTCGCCATGCACCGGCCCCATTCACTTGCTTATCAAAGAGGCTGTAAGTACACAGTGCCCCACAACAATTCAAAGTATAGTGATAGTGGGGTTGAAACACAAGAGTGCTCGCCCTTTCTTTCATTTCAAGTAGGCCACTTTTTCCGGAACGCAGTCCGGGATAACCGTGACCGTATAATAATATATAAATCTTCGAAGCTGTCATTTCGAAATGTCCGCTTCAACCGCAGTTTAACCTCCCAAAAATGAAAGTTGGCTTGACGAGCGCAGATGCGAGGAAGCGGGAGCAATTAAACAAAAAATATCTTTATTGTCCTTCTACTTAAGGGGAAAAGAGAAGCGCTTTTGCTACTGTTAAAGCGAACGCGCGAAGGTTCAAGACTTAGCCGAGCGTTAGCGAAGCTAGATTCTCATAGCGAGGCGCTACTACAGCGCTTCGCTAACTCGAAGCGCCGTTCTGAACGAATTAGCTCCTTGGTAATGGCTCAATCTATAGATAGAAAGCCCTATGATGGGAAACTATCACGTTAGGTTTGGAGAGAGATCGGACCTATTAGATTAACGAATAGGGAGAGCAGATGCAAGCTTTTTCTTTAAATAGCCGGCCAAATGACTACAGGATCATCGGTCTACTCTACCTCAATTCACCATTTCGAACTTTATACTGAAGGTTTTTCCGTACCAGCTCCTTCTACCTATACCTCAGTTGAAGCACCTAAAGGAGAATTTGGTGTCTTTCTGGTCAGTAATGGAAGCAATCGTCCCTACCGTCGTAAAATAAGAGCACCTGGCTCTGCCCATTCACAAGGACTCGATTCTATGTCCAAACATCACATGCCAGCAGATGTGGTCACCATCATAGGTACTCAAGATATTGTGTCTGGAGAGGTGGATAGATAGGACTGTTAGTTGCTCGATCAGGACCCTAGCTTTATTGCGAGCCAAAAAACTTGATGGATTCCCCTTTTGCGGCATTACCCCGGTAAAATTCATTTAATTTTTTTTTGGAATTCTCTGTAAGAGCTGCGGAACTAACAACTCTATTAGAAAGTTGAATTACCAACTTTTACACAAATTTTCAAGTGGATGAGATTGGTCGAGTGGTCTCAGTTGGAGATGGGATTGCACGTGTTTATGGATTAAACGAGATTCAAGCTGGGGAATTGGTTGAATTTGCCAGCGGTGTGAAAGGAATAGCGTTGAATCTTGAGAATGAGAATGTCGGAATTGTTGTCTTTGGTAGTGGTACCTCTATCAAAGAAGGAGATCTTGTCAAACGTACTGGATCTATTGTGGATGTTCCTGCGGGAAAGGCTATGCTAGGGCGTGTGGTCGACGCGTTGGGAGTACCTATTGATGGAAGAGGGGTTCTAAGCGATCACGAGCGAAGACGTGTCGAAGTGAAAGCCCCTGGGATTATAGAACGTAAATCAGTGCACGAGCCTATGCAAACTGGGTTAAAAGCAGTAGATAGCCTGGTTCCTATAGGCCGTGGTCAACGAGAACTTATAATCGGGGACCGACAAACTAGAAAAACAGCTATAGCTATCGATACCATATTAAACCAAAAGCAAATGAACTCAAGGGCCACCTCTGAGAGTGAGACATTGTATTGTGTCTATGTAGCGATTGGACAGAAACGCTCAACTGTGGCACAATTAGTTCAAATTCTTTCAGAAGCGAATGCTTTAGAATATTCCATTCTTGTAGCAGCCACCGCTTCGGATCCAACACCTCTGCAATTTCTGGCCCCATATTCTGGGTGTGCCATGGGGGAATATTTTCGCGATAATGGAATGCACGCATTAATAATCTATGATGATCTTAGTAAACAGGCCGTGGCATATCGACAAATGTCATTATTGTGACGCCACCACCAGGATGTGAGGCTTTCCCAGGTGATGTTTTCTATTTACATTCCCATCTCTTAGAAAGAGCCGCAAAACGGTCGGACCAGACAGGCGCAGGTAGCTTGACCGCCTTACCCGTCATTGAAACACAAGCTGGAGACGTATCGGCCTATATTCCCACCAATGTTATCTCCATTACGGATGGACAAATCTGTTTGGAAACAGAGCTCTTTTATCGTGGAATTAGACCTGCTATTAACGTCGGCTTATCTGTCAGTCGCGTCGGGTCTGCCGCTCAGTTGAAAGCTATGAAACAAGTCTGCGGCAGTTAAAACTGGAATTGGCACAATATCGCGAAGTGGCCGCCTTTTCTCAATTTGGCTCAGACCTTGATGCTGCGACTCGGGCATTACTCAATAGAGGTGCAAGGCTTACAGAAGTACTGAAACAACCACAATATGCACCACTTCCAATTGAAAAACAAATTCTAGTAATTTATGCAGCTGTCAATGGATTCTGTGATCGAATGCCATTAGACAAAATAGCTCAATATGAAAGAGACATTCTAAGCACTATAAAACAAGAATTACTACAATTACTAAAAGGTGGACTAACTGGCGAAAGAAAGATAGAACCGGATGCATTCTTAAAAGAAAAAGCTTTGTCCTTAATTTAATTTTCATGATGATTTTTGTTTAGATGATATATTTTAAAAAAAGCTGGATCTGGATGGAATCGACCTTCTCCTTTTTTATAGGCCATCGCATGTCGTATAAAGTTTTGCTTTAATGATATGCATTAATACACTCTCTAAGTGAGGAGACTGGAGCTCCAGCTTAGAGACGCTCCCTAGGCCAGAGGTCGGGGGGAAGCCCAGAGAGAGGATATTTTAGGTCTATCTCCCAAGGATAGCTCCTTTGTTTGAGAGCCTTTACACGAGTTCGTTTAAAAGTCGTTTTTTCCCTCAAAAGAAAGTTCCTCGTCTCTGTCGTCGTATGCTTAATGGTGTTTAGAGGGCCAACTATAGGGGAGGGGGTGAGTCCAAAGAATGTGTGTTAAGCGCATTTAGCGATTGATTTGAACACGGGACACTAGCCTTGAAGAAGGGCCGGGGAATGCTCCGGGTAGTTCGAACCCTGAGGAGGAGGGTGAGAGTTCAGTAGGACTCTTAGAATGGGCCGGGAGAAACCTCTTTGATGAGGAGTAGCCGAGTTAGTACAGTACACATATTTTTGGTCCGAGAACTACATCTAGTTTGATGTCGAGTCCATGTCCATGTCCAGGTGCAGGGCTTGTCTATGTAGGCCGTGGGTTTTATTAGAAGGCCCATTCAACCATAAATAAGGGAAATCAATAGAATCGGAGTTGCCTATACGGAGAAAAAGGGGGTTATGCTGCAACTTGACAACAAAGAAGGCAAGCTGACGGAAAGCATTAATTCGCTTTTTTCGATAGATAATACCTCACCCGCGATAGAGTAAGCAATTTGAAGGTAGCGGCGATCCGTATGTGCCCATGCCGGCGGAGAAAGACGATCCAGGCAAATGA